AGTTGTCTGCAATCCTCGGTTTTGTGACCATGCGTGCCATGATAGTTGCACATCAAATTTGGGTTTCTTTGGGAAGGATCGGTCTGTATGGGTCTGGGCCACCTAGTATATTTGATCCTTCCAATTGCCGATACAATGCCCGATGCGTCGATGCTAAAGTTATACTTCGATAACTGAGGTGCCTCCACGGGATCGGCATGCTTATCAAAACCATTTTTGCTCATAAGTCCCCGAGAATTTTGCCCCTGATCGCTTCTTCGATCACTCAGGAGGGATTGCATCTTGAACCGTTGTTCCTTCGATCCGCAGTATGTGGTTGATATCGTTCTCTGTTCGACCTTGTCTCCCTGTCGACGTCTCTCGGGGTTTTAACAGCCAACCTGTTTGGATGTACTAAACTGGAAGGGGCTCCTAATTGGTCGTCCTCGACCCTGATCTTCGTTGATATCGATTGTGCACATCTGCCCAAGTTACAGCTGGATACTCGACCAAATTTTGTTTTAAATGTCGTGATGCTATCGAACTCCACTCATTCAACCCTTGGGTGAAAGCTTGAACGGCCCAATCATCTATGACCGGTGTCAACTCCATGTGTTCCATTTGAAATCGGGATACGAACTCCCTCAGCATTTCGTTATCCCTTTGTCTTATCTTAAGAACGTCCGGTTTTCTTGTTGCGACCTTTATGGCCCTGGCGTGTTCCTTCACGAAAGAATATGCTAACATGGCAAATGAGTCGATGGAATTTGGTGGCAGGTTGTGATACCAAATCATTGCTCCCTTTGACAAAGTTTCCCCAAAATTTTTCAACAAAACGGACTCGATCTCATCATCATCTAAGTCACTTCCTTTTATTCCGCATGTGTACGAAGTGATGTGTTCATTAGGATCGGTGGTCCCGTTATTTTTAGGTATATCCGGCATACACAACTTTTTGGGAATGGGATTCGGAGCAACACTCTGAGGAAAAGGCTTTTGCACGAACTTTTTCGAATCCAATCCTTTTAGGATCGGGGGTGCCCCCGGTATCTGATCAACTCGGGAGTTGTATGTTTCTACTTTTTTATCATTATCTTCGATTTTCTTCTCACCCGACTCAATTATTTTGGTGAGCTCCTCGAGCATTTTCATTATTGTGGGATCAGTCCCTGATTCGTTACCACCTGATCTTTTCGGCACTAGCTCGGCATGTCGAGTGATTTCTGGATCGACCACACTTAGAGCCCTATGTTGATTTTGCAATTGAGCAATAGCGGCCTGTTGAGCCTGTAGCATCTCGAATATTACCTGGAGACTAACTCCTCCGTCTTCTCTGCCCTGTGTACCTTGGCCACCAGATCGGCCTTCCCTGCGTCCTCTCCCTTCGGGGTCCGCGGCTAGGTCCACATTTAGAGCAACGTGCGAACTGATATCGAGTGGATCAGCGACCGGTGCTCCCCCGAGATTAGCCGATAGCACCCCGTCTCCTGGAGCAATTACATTGTCGCTTTCCCCGTGAAATCCGAGACCATCATCATCATGTACGGGTGCGTTGTGTGAGTTTGATATGCTTTAACCTGAGAGCGAAAATACTTGACAAGAACAAGTTTGAAAATAACGTGTGTTATCAGAATTAGCACTGAAACAATCACTATTATCCTTAGCCCCACGGTGGGCGCCAAACTGTTTACCCAAAAATTCGAGTAACAATTAAACTTGTATTGTGATTTTAAGGATATGTGATTTAACTCAATGCCAATTGATGAACAAGGAATTAAATAGATAAATTAAAGAATAAAAAAGATCAAACCAGTGTGTAAGCTAAATCTCGACCTCGATCTGTGATAATCTCAAGGTATGATAATGGGAATAACAGAACAAAGCAATTATGATGAACAGTAAAGTTAAATAGCAAGAAAGTAATGAGCGTGTATATTTTTCTCAGTGAACAATGAATCTTACAAATGAGTGGGATCCCACTTTATATAGTAGGGGAGTCCTAAATAAGGTACACTTCTAATTATAGTAGGAAATCCTATTTGACAACTGTTTAACCGCCGAAGACCAATCCATTCCGGAATTCACGCTCTGATCTCTGGTCCGTTGCGGATATCTCGCCCTTTTCGTTACTGAATCATACGGCATCATCTCGAAGCACGCCTTCTTCTTACCTCGGTAAGTGTTATCGACCTCGACCTTGGAAAGGAACTTCGACCCCGAGCTCGACGTCCTGATCTTCCGACGTGATATCACTTTTTCCATCAAGGGACGAAATCGGGTAGCCCCGATTTCTACCGTATACAATGTAAAAGGTGTAGCATATGTAAGTTTTCGTTCGTGATCTGGAAGTTTATATACTCCTTCTGTTTCAATTTATGTGAACATATTTTCTTTTTAGTCCGTACCAAAAAGAATGACTCCTTTCCTATTTGAAAATAATTTACGTTTATGCAATGATTTATAGCCACACAAAATATATGTGCCTCATTTTACACCACAAATTCAAAAGTCTTCTCTCTTTTCTTAATCTCCGTGCTCAGTCAAATGAATTCACATAAATTGAAATGGAGAGAGTATTACATTATTGCTATTTAGTAAGTTTTTCATAGAAAATTAATGTGTAACAATATCTTTTGTACTTGAAAAATAATCAAGACAAGAAATAATTTAACAAATATAGTACTTACTTAAAGTAAAATGAGTATTATAATCTCTAAGTCTTTAAGAAAGTATCCTATGATTCTTCTCCTCAACTATTACATACCTGCACGGTGCGTGGATCTTATCAATATAAAAAAAGAGCATAGAAAATTAATAAAAGTAAATGTATATTGCATATTAAATTCAGCAACTGCATTCAAAAGAATTAAATCAAAGAATAAATAAATAAATTTCAAAGAGTTTTCTCTATAAAAATGTTGCTAGAGAAGAAGAACAATTAACCTCAAAATTTTGAATTTTTTTATCCTGCAAAAAAGTAGCCAACTCATTTAGCTTTGTTAGTATTTCCAGCAGCTTGCCACTTCATTCATTGTTCTATATTTTTGTTTTTGTTGATTTTATATCTTATGATTTTAGTTATGTTATATAATTTATTGTATGAATTTTCTCATCATAATTCAAAAGATACTTTCTCATCTCAAATTTATATAAATCTTATATCTATATTTTTGTAATAAATTTTTTTAGTTTTTTTTTTTCTGAGTAAGCTTATTTACTCGTTACTTTAAATTCTTTCATTGTTCAATTTTTTTAAGTTTGATTTTATTAAGATTTCAGTTATGTAGTAGTAATATCTATTATATGACTTTCTCATCATAATTGGAAAATACTTTCTTATTTCAAATTTAAATAAGTCTCATCCTTATATATATATATATATATATATATATATATATATATATATATATATATATATAAATGGGATGGGCCTGACTCTAATACCATTATAAATGGACATTGCGCCTAACTCAACCCCAAAAGCTAGCTTATTGGGTGAGGATTTTTCAAGACTATATAAGGAGACCAAGAACCTCAAATCACATCGATGTGGGACAACTCAACAACATTATTCATTATTTAGTATTTTTACATTTTCATGTGACATTTTGTAACGACCCGACCGGTCATTTTGAGTATTTAGCCTCGTTTTCCCTATTTGATATTTTACATATGTGTATTTGTGGTTACATCACTTGAGGGGATAATTGGTGAATGTATAACAACACAATCACCAACAAAATTAATCAAGTTATTATCATTATCCCATTCACCGCTATGAAGAATGTGTACATGATAAATTTCCATTGCAAAAAATAAAAAAGATGAAATTGAAATTTGTGTGTGTTTTCTTGCTTTATCTCGAACAATCTATGTTTAAAGTCGACTCTGTTGATTTCCCTTCTAAATCACGAACTTTTAGATTTTTCTATCCTTGTTGATTTCTCTTCCAAATCAGGAACTTAGAGCAAATTCTGCTATTTGGAACTTGGAGAAGAGATTGTAGGATTTTCAATTTGCATTGCATCTTTTTGCGTTTTTTTTTAGCCGGAATAGAAATGTATAAACTTGGGAAGAAGAAGGATAGAAAATCACGAAAATTTTGCACCTGAAGATCCAAAATAAAAAAGGCATTGATGCTCGTTTTTTTCCTGATCTGGCCTAATGATTTTGGGCTACAAATTTGTAAACTTGTAAATGATCCTTCGGTTGCAATGTCAGCTGGTAGGCTATACTATTACGTAATTCTCTCTTTTTTATTCATCTTTTGCCTACTAAATATATGCGTAAGGGGGTCTAACTAACCTTATTGAAGAAGGTTCTTCTTTTAGGAAAAAGAAAAATCAAGGAAATGTGGAATCTACTACGACAATCATGATATCAATAGTCGTGCATGAGTTGATAGGTTTAGTATGGTAGTTTGCATGATGCATTTCTGGAGTTATACATGAATGTTGCAGACATTATCTTCAAATGTTAAAGGTATCGCGCGAAAGCCATTGCTTGTTCCATAATTTGCTTGGATGGGAATTATAGATAGAAAGGCAGAAAAGGAGGCATCCACTCAAGTTGTTGCTAAAATATAAGCAACTAGTTAAGTGAGAACTAGTGAAGTTGAGTCTAGAATAGAAAATCATGCAAATACAACTACCAAATTGGACATTAAGCCAAACTAAAAATTGGTATATGATTTTGGAGCTACCATTCTACACTAAAAAGGTACGCCATAAAAATATTCGATGCAAATTCATTCTTGTCTACTAATGATATGCACGCGAAACAAAGGATTCGGAGCAATTATTATTATAATAAGCTAGAAATACTTGCAGTAGTAAATATTGCAATATGCTAGCAGTAGCATTAAACTATACCTGTTTACCCTCAGTCACAATCTCGCAGTTAAGTTTTACAAAGAAGTAAATCGATAAGGATCATGTAAGAACATGATGCAATAAGAAATAAAACATCTCCTGACTTTGTCCAAGTCAGTTTTATCAAGTAAAGGATGAAAATTATAATCATTTTCGGAGAAGAATAGTTAAATTACTCTGAAAAAACATATATTACTAATATTTCTCACACCAAACATAAACAATACATGCAAAATTAGTTCTCTAAAAATCCAATAAAGAAGTTTATGCCCAATTGAACAAAGTGCTTCCGACTGCTGCAAGTCAATTCCAGCATGTGATTATCAAAATTGCATAAAAACTAGCTACAATAAAGATATGATCAATCTAAGAGAAGCTTGAGCTAGGGGGTGCACCACCGAAACCTCCAGCCCCACGTCCGAATCCAGGTCTTCCACCACCACCCTACAGGTATAGAATGATAGGTTAGATTGAATTTACTGTTAAGAGTTTTTGTACCAACGTAGACAGCATAAGCAATCATGAGTAACAGAACAAAATCCAAATCTTAGTCCTAAGCCTAACAAAGGAAAGATAGAAACCAAGTGACCAAAACAAAAGGTAGGATTATGAAGCTTTCGTGAGTACTAATAATACATGGTTTACATTATCAAACAGCCAAAAGGATTTGTTATCTACTATTAAACGGAAACGGGCCAAAAATACCCCCTAACGTATTGAAAATGGCTCAAACATACCTTTTGTTAACCTTTGGGACCAGAAATACCCTCCGTGTTTGTTTTTCGACTCAAATCTACCCGTTAGATTAACGGACCAACCTGGGTCATTTTTCGGACTCAAAATAGACACGTGGTACGTCATTAGGATGCCACGTGTATATATCAAGAAACAAATAAAACCCACCAAGTTTCTTAGATATTACCCAATGACCCACTGGCCTAAAAACCCACCCGCCTCTTCTTCAATATTTATCATGATATTGGTGGTAAAGTCAAAACATATAAAACCGAACATTCCAAAATTTCTTCTCAACTCTTTTACTGCCATGGCTTTGAATCATTCTTGCACTATTTTAAATATGAATAGTTAAATTTAAAAATTAAAGAGGAGTCATTATTTAGTCCAGATAGGTTTTTCTTTGGTGATCGTAGTCCTACTTCATCTCTATTTTTCTTCGTGTCTTTTTTATCTGTGCAGCTAATGATCTCCCATTGCTAGCAATTGCAATTTTCCTAGTAGTTTGATTGGTCTTTTTTTGATTAACTTGTGATTTGCAGGGAATTGGATGATGAACTGTAGCATTCTCTTTATGATTTCTTCGAGACGAGGGGAATAACTGATGAATTTTGTGTATCTTATATCAACACGGGACGAAGAAAGATTGTGTTTATTGGCTGGATGGAAAAAACCAAATCGTTCATGGAGAGGAACGAGACAGAGAGACTGGTTTTTGGATCAGCAGGTCGTTGGGTAATTTTTAAGAAAATGGGTGGGTTTTATTTGTTTAGTAATATATACATGTGGCATGCTTATAAGTTATAACATGCCACGTGTCCTTGTGTTTAAAGGTCCAACTTGGTCCATTAATCTCAGGGGTAGATTTGAGCCGAAAAAACAAATGTGAAGGCTATTTTTGGTCCCAAAGGTTAACGAAGGGCATTTTTGAGCTATTTTCAATACGTTAAGGGCATTTTTGGCCCTTTTCCGACTATTAAAATTACCACAAACTCTTAGATAATCATCTATACTATGGACTCTAAAGGCATTACTTGAGTAAAGGAGTGCTTAGTATGGGGCATCTTCCACTAAAACTTATCATGCAGTACATGACCATAAACAGTCATACTGTAGAATGCAATGTATGAATTGGGAATACAGAATCTCAGAGGACAGCTGTGAGGTGAAGTGTAGAAGAAGCTTAAAAAGTCAAGTCGAATGAGGAACAATAACTAAAAATGATGCAATAAGCTTGGGATCATTTTTACTCATAGTATCAGTGCAATAATGTGAGTCACAATAGGTGAACAATCAAATGCATTAGGTGAAACAAAAAAAAATATTGATCACAAGAATTTCAAGGAACAGAAAATCAGTCTAGAGCTGAGACTATCCTTTCCCCTTACTACTAGTGCTAATATATGATCTACTCAAATAAGAAGTTTTGATGGCGATAGAAATGTTCTTTATGTGAAAGAAAGACCTGCCAAAAGTGGAACTTCAAGTCTAAGCACTGGAGCAGTGCAGACAAAGTGTCATTAACCTTACCAATGCAGATAAAATGCAGAAATACTGTTGCTAGTTCCAATAGATCAATCAAAAACACTTCAATTGAACAAAAAGATATGAAAAATGACAGGGTATAGGGAAACAGTAATTACCCTGAATGCAGGCTGGTAGTCAGCTGGAGCTCCACCCTTCTCGCCTCCAAACTCACCAGGTGGACCTCTTGGACCAGCACGATAACCTTCCCTGTCACCAAACCTTGGCCTATCTCCCTCAAACCTAGGTGGTCCACTGCAAATCCATCAATACACCAATGTCAATCCATTTTGGTTGACATAGTAACTATAGAATTTAGACACATAAGCTACTTATATGTAAATTACCGGGGACGGTCGCCAGGAGGGCCACCCATGGGACGACCAAGAGGCTTAGCAGACTTCTTGAGAGTAGCTGGGACAATTTCGGAAGGAAGATTGAGGTAAGTCCTGAGGAACTCAATGCCGTCATTGGTCAGATACCAATAGTAGTGCATCCAAGCAAAGGTCTCACGCACGTATTCCTTCGACTTGAAACTCTGCATCAATTTTATCACCTGTAGGTTCGGCACATCGATATTCGGATGCTTTGCCAAGTTGTAGTCTTTCTTTGCAAAGCATACTCCCTCTAATACAAATAATTTCCATAGTTACATACATTTATACACAGATAACAATAAAATAAAACAATAAAAATAAAAAGTAGAGCATACTAACCTTGGAAGAGGTACTTGGAGATCTCTCTCCGGTTCTTCTCTGGGATAATCTGAAAACACAAAATCGATTAAAAAGGACTGAGAAAAATGTATTATAATAGATATTTGAAAGGAGAAGAATGATACCATAGGTGCTCGAAGAAAATTGAGGAGAGGTAGGAAATCAACTGAAGCCTCCACCAAAATGCAGCAGCAAAGGGACGGACTATCTGTGAACCCTAGAAAGCGCACGTCTTATATCTGACATTTGTATCACATGGGCTTTTACTGCTTGCAAAATGAAGTCCCAAGCCCGAATAGCCCTTTTTGGCCCAATAATATCACAATTGTCTTTTTTTTTTTTTTTGAGAAATTTGAATAGATATTATTACTACTAAGAACTAGTCACATTACATGCCATAGAGATGCCACTTACGACATTATGATTGCCAAGTTAAGCCAACTTAGTACATATATTATTAGAAAGTAGTCTGACAAAGGAAGTTCCACCTCTATTTGCCAAAAACTGAGTTGCAACAAAGGGAGGGGGAAGAGAAAAATTTTTGACTTGGTTTACGTTGGACTGCTTGGAAGCTTCATTTACTAAAAGGTGCGATACTTGGTTTGCTTACCTGAAATTATGCCTGATTGTTACCTTCTCCAGTTGGCGAATCAACCACCTACAATCACAATAGTTGCATTATACGTTGGATAACTATGATCAAGGCATTTGAGCATATCAGTTGAGTCTGTTTCGATTTCCAAGGGTTTCAGCTTGAGTTCCCATGCGATTTGAAGGCCATGTTTCAGAGCCATTAGTTCTGCCTAGAGAGGGGTTGCTGCATGTGTGTAATTATAGAAACTAACAACCCAATCCCCCGAGCTGTTGCGGATTACTCCACCTAGACCACAACGCAACTTCTTAGCTTTAAATGCCCCATCTATGTTAAGTTTGTACCAACCATTAGGGGACATATGCCATTTTATTCTGATGGCATTCTTTATATTTGGGTTTGACTCCTTGACTGTGAGGAGTTTGTATTCCATAGCCTGTTGAAAAATGATCTTAGAGGGCAGAGCATGATTAGTATTGTTATGATTGTTATTGTTTCTATTCATCCGGATATTCCAGATAACAATAGGAAAAAGATCCTCCCAGTCAAGGTATTTATGCTTTAACATAAGATTCAAGTTTGTTATTACAAGAAGCAAGTAGTTATACTATTGAAAGAGAGGTGAGTAATGCCTAAATTCTTCCAGAATGCATTAGTTATAGGACAATAAATAAAAATGTGCATAATGGTCTCATCCTCAATCTTGCACATTGGACAAGTAGCATCAATATTCATACCAATATGCCTAAGATAAGATCTGCATGGTAGTTTATCATGAAAACATCTCCAGATGAGAAATTTTATCTTGTTAGGACAGTTGAGATGCCAAATTCAAGTGAAATCTTTGTCAGTTTCCTCATGACCGTCAATGAGAGTGTAACATGATTTTATAAACCTGCCATTGCTACTAAGTGACCAAATAGGAATGTTAGGAGTATTATCATATTCGGTGAGATTTAAGGTCATAATGTTAACAGTACTACAATTGGGGAGGTCAAAGGACAACTTAGGAAAATTCCATAAATTCTTCTTCCTTAGATCTCTAATTTTTAAATTGTAATCACTCTTGTTGAGAGGCCCTTGAATGGAATTTCTTAGACAAGGAGTGTTAGGGATCCATCTGGAATTCCAAATGTCAATAAAAGACCTTTCATTGATAGTTGAAAGGATCCCTTTATTACAGAAGTACCAGCGTTTTACGACAACACTCCAAATAAAAAGAAATGTTAGCCTTCCTGGCCTTCGTAGCATGATTAGCAATAAGGATCTTGGACCAAAGAGATTGAGAAAAGTTTAGTAGTCTCCATGTAAGACCTGTAAGGAGGGACAATTTTTTTGACTTAGACTTCTTGATTCCTAGACCCCCATTGGATTTACTACTAGTAACTACCTTCCAACTAAGCAAGTGGAGTTTCTTATTACTATCAGTGCTACCCCATATAAAATTCCTTTGAATTTGATCAATAACATTCAGAATTTTTTGTGGGAGAAGAGTATATTGCATGGCATGATTGGGGATAGTATTGAGAATCGAGGAGACAAGAGTAGTTCCACCGGCCATACTTAAACAATTTGATTTCCAATTAGCTAATCTGTTACGCATGTTGTCAAGAATGAATTGATAATTAACGACTTTTGGCTTCTGTTGCAAAATAGGAAAGCCAAGATATTTACCAAAGTTGTTACTGATTCTCATATTGAACAAATTAAAAATATGCTTGGCAGTGTCGTTCGGACAATTTTTTGAGAAAATAATTTTGGATTTGATAGTTAATCTTATGGCCTGATAAGTCACGGAACGTATTGAGACCACTAAGGATAGTGGTGCATGAGGTATTATTGACTTTAGCCATAAGGGTGAGGTCATCTGCAAACAAAAGGTGGGAAAAAGAAGGACTTATATTGTTGAGACAAATAGGGTCCCAATTCCTAATATCTACTTGATGACTAATATATCTAGACAACATTTCCATGCATAGTATAAAGATATACGGAGACATAGGATCGCCCTGCCTTATACCTCTGCTAGGACTAAAAAAGTCAGTCTTGGATCCATTTACTAGGATAAAGATGTTACTAGTAGTAATACATGTCATGATCAGCTTTGTAATCTTAGGGAGGAACTTGAAATGTCTAAGGGTTCGATAACTGAAAGACTACTCAAGTCGATCAAAAGCTTTTTCTAAATCAATTTTAAGCATCATAAAAGCTTTGGAACCCTTAAAGTGATTGAATTTCGAAAGAATTTCTTGAATAATGATAGCATTGTCACAAGCCCTTCTATTTTTCAAAAAAATGGCTTGGAAGGGACTAATGATATTATCTAGAAAAGATTTGATCCTATTAGAAATGATCTTAGTAATAATTTTGTAAATAGTATTACATAAGCCTATGGGTTTAAAGTTTTTTAGGTTGTTAGCATTAAAAATTTTAGGAATGAGACATAAGTAGGTATTGTTGATAGATTCAGGAAAGGATTGCGTAGCGAAAACATTGTGGCAAAATTGTAGAACTGATTGTCCCAACACTTTCCATTATTTTTAAAAGAAGAATGGGTGAAAGCCATCAGGTCCTGGAGATTTAAGAGGTTTAAAGGAAAAACCAGCCCTAATAACTTCATTATCCAGTAGGGGATAGTCTAATGAGGACAGATCTAGATTATTGAAAGAGACTGGGTCATTAAGGATTTTGACCAATTTGTTTGAAGATGAGAGGTTGTGAATATTTCTAAAAAGTAATTCAAAGTGTGATCCTTCAAGGAGTTGTGATCATCAATCCATTGACCTTCGTCATTTTTAAAACAAGTAATATGGTTTCTTCGTCTCCTATTAGTGGCGGTGATATGAAAAAATTTAGCATTAGCATCACCTTCATTAATCCACAGAATTCTAGATCTAAGTTTCCAGTAGTCTTCTTCTAACTTAAGGATGTTATTGTAGTCATACATTAGATCTTGTTCTAATTGTTGAAGAAATCTACTAGTAGGAAATTTAGGAGAATTTTGGATACCGTTAAATCTAGCCAAAAGTCTCTTTTTTCTGTGAAAGAGATCATCAAAAGTTTTTCTTTTCCATTCCAAAATATCATTTTTAAAAGATCGAGCCGCATTACACTAGTCATTATCTTTCCAACTAGAATTAACGACATTAATGAAGTCAGGATGTGAGCACCAAATTGTCTCTAAACTAAAAGGTTTCTTGTAGTTCCCATTAGGCATAGAGTTCAACTTGATCAACAAAGGTCTATGGTCTGAGTGGGTTTTGGGCAGGTGGGTAACTGAGGCTTCACGAAAAAGAGTAGCCTATTTATCATTACAGAACACTCTATCTAATCGTTCCATAATTAGACTTTTCCTCCTTTTCATATGATTTGACCAAGTGAATTTACTTCCTTTAAATCCCAAGTCAAAGAGGTTACAATAATTTATGCTGGACCATAGTTTGCATGACCTATTGAGACTAACAGGTTTACCACTAAATTTCTCCTTAGCCATTAAAACGTCATTAAAATCACCCCCTACTAACCACGGGCCTTTATAGAAGTCATAAATATTTTTCAAGTTCTTCCAAAGTAGATTTCTATTAGTCTTACTAGTACTAGCGTAAATGAAAGAAAAAAGCCAAGAGTAACGTTTAGGAAGTATCTCAACCATAGCATGGATTTCCTGATCTCGACTAATTGAGTTTTGGACAGTGACCATATTGTGATCCCACAGAATAAACATACCTCTAGATCTTCCCTGTGCAGGGACCTCGATCATATCCGTAAAATTAAAATCTTTAAGAAAGGAGGTGTAGGTAGACATCTTAGTTTCAAGTAAAGTAACCATGTAAGGTCTATGGGTGTCTATCATATCTCTAAAGTTCCTACGGAAGTTCTCGTTGTTAGCACCCCTAGTGTTCCAGATGATAATAGTTGTAGCTCTATTCATCATGGGATTTGGGTTCTGTAGGTTGACACTCCTCTCCTCCCCCATTGGAGAAGATAGATTTCTCCATACGCATCGTATTATGATTATTGTCAACTTTCCTACTGTTAGATCTTGTGGTGTCTTTATGTTCATTGTGCACCTGTATAGTGCAATTGGATAACTGAAGACATGCCTCAAGTCGTGCCTTACCTTGATGAGTGAGACTTTGACTTCGTTTATGTTTGAAAACTCGATTCTCAACCCCCTGTTTGCAGTAGGTATCTACTTTAGTTCCTCCATTACATTTTCTTTGGTTCTTGAGCATTGGGTGGTGGAGTGGGTTGCCTTTTCATGGGAGCTGGGTTGTTGTTTTGTTTTTGAGGCTATGCCAGGTTGTTCCAGGCATCCCAAGGTATGAGAAGTAGGAATATATTGGCGGGTTCCTTCGATCGTAATTGATTGAGGTCCTTCGGTAAGAATGGATTGAAGAGAGTAGGAAGGTTCCAAAGGTTTTGTATATTCTGGATTAGAATTGTATTCATGTTCATGGCGAGGACTCAAAAGAGTGTTCAACTATTGTACTAGACACTTGGTTAATATCAACCAACACTTGTTCAATGCTAGGATTATCAAGAGATAAGTGTTGTAGAGTTGGAGGGATATTAGCCTTGCAGGAAGTAGCGTCGTCATCATCATCATCATCATCATCATTATTATTATTATTATTATTATT